AAACAATGGAACTATATAAATGAAGTTAGGAAGTCGTGTGATTACCTTGATATGATTATGAGCAAAAAATTGTGCTCGAAACTTAGTCATCAGTAAACATTACTGTATTGCATTACGAGACTTTATCAAGACAAAATTTACCCATATTGGAATCACACTCTACCACAGTGCACAAGTTTTATTCTTATATCAATGATTTCCCATCTTTTGTTGTATTCATTTTCAGAGATAATCCCATTATACAGATATTATTAAGAAATCATATGTCATGGTCATGGAGAAAGAAAGACCTATTATACTTGAGAAATTAACACATTCTTTTCCACTCGCCAAGTATTTTGATTTTGTATCAAATATAAATATAGATGTTGGTCAACTCAGAGTGTATTTATCACTTCACCTATCGGTACATTTTACAGATTGTAGTGTTGCAGATTTGAACCTAACCAAATAAAAATAAAGTTCCTATTTACATGTTGTAATATTTAGTCACCTTTCTTCCTCTTAATTCCATAGAATTCTTATGGGAGTACAGAAGACATGAGTCTCCTGTTCACTCCTATATGGCCAAGTGAAAACTGATTGACAACTGTCAGATCAAAGTTTCTGGCATAACTTTAGCGTCATCTAAAGAGTTTCTCCAAACATTTACGAACCATAATCAGGAAGACTTTTCATATATGCTTCTCTAATATTCTAAATTTTTTTTTGTAGTGACTGTTATACACCATCTTTCTGTGAATTATATCTTCTTAAGGCTCACAATTCCAGTTTCCACCTATTTTTTTTATCTCAATTCAGTTCATTGTATCTTACCAACTTATTACCATCAAGCGCCTGAAACCTGATTTATGCGTCCAGAAAGAAGCGGTTATCAGCCTTTCTTTGCACTGGTAAATGGATAATTTCACCTCTCTTTCCTCCGAATGTAAAATGCTAAAAGTTTCCATTGTGTTTGATTATTATTGTTCGGAATAGTGGTTAATATTGCATATTCATATATGTATATATTTTTAGTGTATGAGTATATTGATCGATTGATTTTTGTTTAAACTGAACTCTGTGCAAGTATGTTAAAATTGTTGTTGTAGATATATTTAATAATGTCTTTGCCATGTAAGCAGCTGACGAGAAGGCAACGAAATAAAAGATGGTATCATTTTATTCTGCTAAAACTGTAGTTCTTGCTTTGTTCTAATACTAACACGTTTTCATCTGATGAGTGTGTTCCATACTGCATAATATATCGCAATTCTTTAAACCATAGGAAGAATTTTTATTAAGAATGTATCTAAAGCATATTTTTCGACGACGTTTAAATTAATAATTCATATACAGCTTGAAAATGACATGACTGAAGAGAGAGAGAGGAGATTTCATTAAATGGTCTCCTTTATTTCTCACCAGTAATACCTTAGAATATGTATTTTCTGACCATTCATACACATAATTCACTCAACACCTTAAAACCCTCAGTTCAGTAAAAAAAAAAAGTTATCTCAAGTGTCTTGAAGTTCACAGAGGCCATCTCTGTCAGGTGGTTGAAAACTTGACTTAATTATTCAAAATGAAGAAGTTTTTGCCTAATTTGATAACCCACCTTTTAATCTTGAGTAGTTACATCATCGCTCATCAGTAATGTAAAGATAGATTGGAAACTATTAACTAGTGTGATGTGTCTAGTCCTGTGTATGGTGCAGACTGAATTCTATCAGTCAGGTTTGTAATGTGACCACCATTCTGAATAACTAGCAACCATGGTGTACATTGATTTGATGATATAAGATAGCCTGATAGAATTCAGTCTGCACCAAAGATAGGACTAAACACATCACACTAGTTGCTGATTAGTGTCCAATCAAAGTATCCCCAACATTCCTGCAGGAGGTCATTTGCGAGGTCGAATAGCTCAGTGGTAACGTCTGTGACTGCAGCACTCGCTGTGTGACGCGAGTTCAAACCTCAGAAGGGGAATGAGTTCCTTCAAGGTTGCAGATAGGCTTTGCTGACTTGTGAATGCCAAGTAGCACGAAACCTAGGTCCAAGACCTCCTGCCGATTACCTTCAACCTTCTAATATCATCAAATTAATGTAAAAATTAGTTTATTTTCACTCCTACTTAGTTACATCATCACTTACTTACCGGCATGTTTCATGTTTGATATCTAACTAAATGAGCTTAACTCACAATATATTTTTTCATGTCTTATCTGTTTACTAACAATTCTTTAATAAGTTATGTAATCTTATTATTTGTATACTTCAATATCTTGAATGAAATAAAGTCAACATAATTATATTTTATAAGTCACTAATGAGCACCAATTTTTTATCCTCCATCTAGGCACTTCTCGATAATCTAAAGCGTTTATATATACAGAAGTGTTTTAGATTCATGGATTAATGGATCCCATAAAACGTTTCAAAAGAAGCTTTAACTAGAACAAAAACAATTCAAAGTAATTACTTCATAACTATTAATTGACTTAGGCCATTTTCATTTGGGCAGATTTTGTTTTATTCTTTTACGCTCCTAGTGGAACATAGAGCCTCAAGCTACAGCTTCGTAGTTTCAGTAACAGTGATGTTTATTTTTACTCAGTGAGGTTTCTAGCCTCAAGCCTAACCATTCCCCTTTAGTGATCTTACTACCGGTTTTGGCGAGGTGTAGGAGTGTGTCGGTCGGGAATCGAACCCCAGACCACATGTGTGACTGGCGAGCATTCTACAGCTGTACCACCAATTTTCCACCACATTATGATAAAGTAAAACACTGAGACATAGTCCTGTTCATATTTTGTAAAAGTCACCCAAAAAATGTCCTCCGTATTTCAATAAATTTTGTTTCAGTAAATATGGAAATTGACAAAGAAAATGTGAGCTGATAAATATTTTTTTATTGAGTCGTCCACTGAGGATGTATTGAACGGGTACGCTACTGTTATTAAACGACTTTTTGGCTTACGTCATACAAGAATAACAAATGCATCACATGGGCAATATTTATAATTGATAAGATATGATGTCAAATAAAATTGATTCTTAGAATACTTAAAAACAAATAAGTTGTTCCCATGATAATACCATATTATCACGTTCCATGATATTTTTTTACAGTGATAGATGAAAACAGGGCTTCATTCTGAAAATTAAATATTGTTTACATTGCTGCTAGACGAAGCTAAAACAAAGTCTATATTTTCAAATTTAAATACAGACACAAAATATTATTGAGGAAGCATTTAGTTGTTTATCAGTTAGGGGATTAATTCCCCTCTTTCTTGGTGTCTTCCTCTGTCACTGTGCCACATTTTACATATACACAAAGTAACAAATATAACCTGAAGTTGAATGAGTCTGAAATCATAAGTTTCTGCCACTGTAAACTGTTGTCTGTCATACACACACACACACTGTGAAGAAAGATTTACACTAACAAGAGGAAATTTAAAAACTGTTGAATTTTATGTGAAACAGTTTAAATTTCATGAGTTATTATTCCTTTTTTGTACATCTAAACCTTATCAAGACAGTGTAACTTAGCTGTAGTTTTAACCAAATACGAGAATGGTCTTTCCTTGTGAAATTACGCTGATAATTAGTATGGTGTGAAAAATTTTGACATAACCATGTTTGTGTCAAATTCGAACCGGTAAAAAGTAAGTCACAGCTAATAGACTGTTCTGCATATAAAGTTTAAATATATTTTTGAATTAAGCAATTCAGATAGAGTAGAGTTTTCTGATTGGATCTGACTTTCATAGTGCATATACGTGTTCTGACAATAAGTACAGAGGTCAATATTGAAAAGACAGATAGTAGTTTCTGAAAAACGTTTGCTACAAATTAAACAAACATCAAACCAGAATGAATTATATCATATTTCAGACAGAGCACACCAGTTCAGGCGCACTCAGCAAGAATCTTGCTTCACACCTGCTTTAATCTTTCAACCTGACAGAAAACGCGTACTACAGAACGTGAATGAATACACAACAGAATGCATGGAATTTAGAAGTATATAAATGTCATGTGTTTGACAACGATTTTAGTGGCGAAAACCAAGACACGAGTGTTATCCCATTTAGAATTCATTAGTTGGGTATACTTCAGTCCCAATGCATGGTGGTGCCAACACTAGAACTCGGACCCAAAGAGCATCTTTCCAAATGTCACTGCCGGGAAGGGGGTTCATAACATACTATGATAACGACGTTTATTGTAGAGTTGATGTGTTCACCTAATCACATAGGCAATATATTATTTAGATATCTGAAATTAAATTATGCATTAGTAAAACTTTTACAAAGTATCTTTTTGGACAACTTCTTTCTAATCTGAGACAGTAAATTTTGCATTGTAGTTATATCTGAGCTTCATGCTTCAAAGTTAAAAGTACAAAATTGCTTGTTTTGATGAGTTAATGTTGTTATATACGGCCTGTTGCAACAGGAATACCGCAGTAGTGGCACTCATTCAAACTAGAAGCATTCAGGTTATAAAATATTATGCCTCAGCTACAAATGATTACAGCATTTTGAAGTTAGTGACAAAGATTTTGTCTAGACAGAAAAAAGAAAGCTTCACAACTAAATCATTCAGCCCAGAGAACAGATTACATCAAAAGCGTCCGCCTGGACTACAAATCTTCTTCAGTATTTTAGGAGGCTAGCTGCATCAACAAGAAATTCTGAAAAGTATCACAGCATCAGTCCAGTGTACCTATTTAACAATGAATCGATAAGGACTAGTGACAAGTATCAACAAATCCAAATATTTGAAATAAATCACACTGTCAACATGCAGACTTCATTACTGATTTTATCTTTAATCGGTTACCATACCCGTCCGTCACTCTTATCTCTTAATTAATAACAGTACTTGTGCAGACCATATTCTGTTTGCCAAGCTAATTTTGACTAATATTTACACGAATTTGTCTAATTCCCTTACTTATTCAGCATGATAATGATTAGAAAGTTATAAAATAATTAACTTACGGTCACTAGTTATTTTACAGAGAAACATTTCCCAATGTCTGAATTAAATAATCTATTCTCCATCGTGGTCCTCATTCTCAAATCCCACCAATCAAATAACAGATGAAGGACAGACATGAAATTAACAATCGATCCGTCCTAAGGACACACCCAAACAACACTCATAATGTAAGCAAATAGGAATTTAAAAAAAACTATTAGTCATTGCTAGGTCAGATTTTTCTGCTCATAAGTATGCGCAGCAGATGGGTAAGATCACTCCATTTAAAGTTTGATTCAAGTGATTCTGGAAAAAATACTAACACATAGAGCAGAATATCGTTTAACATTTTTCCCATCTAAACTCTCGGCTTTAAGTGACGCCATTAGGCATTAGCACGGAAAGAGAAATAGTAAAGCTTAAACTTCTTTTTTTAATAAACACCCAGTAATTACACTTTACAGTTCTATTTAAAAAAAGTGCTTTCAGTTTTCGAAACAATTAACTTACTGATCAAATTTAGTTTGCTGGGGGCTGACTGCAATCGACAAAAAAGGTAAAGATTGTTAGACTAAATGAAAAAACACAAAAATGTAAACCAAACATCTGCATAAATTATTTAGGATTAAGAATTGGGCAAATATTATATGAATAACTTCCTATTTATACTCAGTATTTATTGTAATATGATAGCTAGTGATAGCCATGAGATAAGGACATTTAAATATCGAGAAAGTGATTTTATGAACAAACAGATATGAGGTAACAATATTAGACTTCGCCTGGTCGTCTGTGTATAGTCACGCAATACACTAGCATTTAAAGTAGGAGGTAAATGAAAAGGAAGGAAAGTGGGAATAATCTAATCAGTGGTGATAGAACACGTGAAAAAGGGAAGAAAAGATACAACAAATAAAGGAATAAGATATTTTTTAATCAGTCTGGGATACTTGTGCTACTTTCTGCGATTTTCATTCACACAATCTAGCGTCTCTAGCCATAGGTTTCCTTAGTTACATGAAGGTCAGGTAGCCTACACTTTCCTACATAGCTGATGCCAGTAGTTGGTGACATCATGGACTCTATAATCTAACTAGCTTCCTCTTTCGTATAATACAATCCTACTATTACTAACACATACGCTAGTTATCTCAAAAAAATAAAGATTTATGGCCCCGTTTGTTGAATTATTCATTTCACCCAAGACTTTATGCTTAAGAGAATGAATATTCTTGATGAACACACAGCTAGATGAAGATATCTTACAGGATAGCTATCCTAAGACTGTAACGTAAGTGAATATTAAGTGGGTGTATATATTTAAAGTTGAAAAAGAATAGCTTAGCCAGTGCTGCTTGTCACTTAAAACTAATTTGGACAAAATATGTATGACAACAACAATGACAGATAAAACGTAATGTTAATGGTTAATTTACTTATAGATTCATAAAGTCTGTGTGTATATATTCATCCATTCTAAAGAAAACTGTCATTGCATACCACTGTTAAAGTGGCTGATTTATTGCCTTCTTTTTTATTGAGTCTGTAAAGGAAGTTACTGAAGGAAATTACTATTCTCGTTTCAAATATCTGATCGTTGGGGTATTCCTCCATACAGTTTTATTTCCTTGTCGATTTTTCCTCAGAAAAACAGCATATCTCTCATCATTAAGCTAAATGAACATTTTACTGTGTGCACTGATCTATATATGTGTAAAACTTGGGCACTGTGGTAGTAAGTAATTCCATATTAGTTTGTTTATTAAATGTATCACACAGTGAAACAGTATTGTATACTGGATGACGTTTCGAACACAATTTTTTGTTCATAATCATATCAATTTTTGTCACACGACTTAGAGATTTGATTTTTATAGTTTTCTCTGTCTTCTCCTATTTGTCGTCGTTGGGGTAGTAGAATTTTCCAGATATCCACTGGACAGGTGTTGAATCATTCCTATTACATGTATTCTCCTCAGTTGATTCGATAGACAAAGCTTCTGTTATCAAACTCTCCCTCCATCCTGTGACATTAGATTTTAAAACTGTCATCCGATCCCATCCAGCCTATTGTATGGTTGTGTGTCACTGCATGTAGTGAGTGGTATAGCTGAACTACTCTCTAGATTACTTATCTTATTCTGCAGAATTCTTAACAAGGCGGGAATAAAAGTGACTGACATTCAAACCAACCACAAACTCAATTAGAAACAAGCTTTGTCGGTTAAAGGATCAATCCTGTGGAGCCTTTAAAACCAAACAATTTTGTTTATCTAATACCCTGCTGGAATAATTGTCAGGTCAAATACATAGGTCAAACTAGTAGAACAGGGCAGTCAGACTAGCCGAACATAAAAACCTAGCAAAATCTAGACTGGTTGACCCGAATAAGATAAGAAATCTAGAGAGTAGTTCAGCTATACCACTCACTACATGCAGTGACACAAAATGGCACTATAATTAGCTCACAGGATAGACGACTGGATCGTTGGAGAGAGCATTATGAGGAGCAGTTTAATTTGCCCACAGCCACGCTCAACCTTCCGAGCATCCAACACCTCCCTGAATGGGATATAAACACAGGTCCTCCGTCCCTAACTGAGGTTACTAAAGCTGTCACCAATCTGAAACTAGGCAAAGCAGCGGGACCTGATGGAATGACGCCAGAGGTATTTAAGTACGGTGGAGACAGCTTACTGTCCGGATTAACTGAGGTACTAGGCAGCGTCTGGGAATCAGAAGAAGTCCCATCGGGTTGGTGTAAGTCACTGATTATCCCCATATACAAGAAGGGAGACAAGTCTTCCTGTGATAATCACAGAGGGATTAGCTTGACTAATATAGTATCTAAAGTCTTAGGCTCAATAATCATGCGTAGACTGAGTGGTGCTCGGGAAGCACAAACACGAGAGAGCCAGGCAGGCTTTAGACCAGGAAGAGGGTGTATTGATCATATCTTCACCCTCCGACAGATTCTAGAACATAGGCTTTTTTTTTTTTGTCCAACAGTCATTATATTTCTTGACCTAAAGGCAGCATTCGACTCTGTCGATCGAGAAGTTCTCTGGAGATGCTTGGCTGTAAAGGGAATTCCAAGAAAATATATTGCACTGATTAAGGCACTCTACTCGTACTCATACAGCCAGGTGAGGGCTTACGGCGAGCTGTCATCTGAACTGATGACGACCAGTGGTGTCCGTCAAGGATGCCCATTATCTCCTTTTCTATTCAACTTCATCATAGATGTGTTAATGGACTTAACCCTAGGTGACTTCAGTGACTCAGGGATTGACTTGCTACCGGGGAATAATCTCGTTGACTTGGAATATGCAGACGATATAGTCCTTCTAGGCGAAGACGCTGACGAAATGCAGAGTCTTCTAAACACCTTGAGCCGCAATCTACGAATGTTTGGCATGCGATTCGCTCCCGCCAAATGCAAGATGATGTTACAGGACTGGACTACATCGACGCCTAGTTTAAAAATAGGAAGTGAAGTGGTAGAGCACGTTGACCGCTTCACTTATTTGGGAAGTACCATCAGCCCCAACGGGCTGATCTCTGACGAAATCTCAGCACGAATACAAGGGGCTCGTTTCGCATTTGTTAGTTTACGCCGACTCTGGCGTAGACGAGATGTTCGACTATCGACCAAAGGGCGGGTGTACTGCTCATCAGTCCGTTCCGTCCTCCTTTATGGTTGTGAGACCTGGCCACTGAGAGTGGAAGACATGAAAAGACTAGCTGTCTTTGATCACAGGTGCCTGCGCTCTATTTCCCGTGTAAAGTGGCATAATAAGGTGAGCAACATGGAGGTTAGGCGTAGAGTTCTAGGTAAACAGGGGAAATCAATCGACGAGGCTGTGAAGCTACATCGACTGAGATGGTTAGGACATGTGTTACGTATGCCAAGCCATCGCCTCCCTCGACGAGCAATGTTAGCGGATATAGGGTCAGGCTGGAAAAAAGCTAGCGGCGGTCAAACAAAAACTTGGCATCAGTCAATGAAATCCACAACAGTTGGTCTAAGCCACGTAGAAAGGTGTAGACTTCCAGGCTGGGGTCCTCGGGACGGTAAAAATCTATGGTTGGAAACAATTGGTGACATGGCTCAAAATCGTTCTCAGTGGCGCAGATGCATCCACTCCCTGTGACTTATGATCTTCAATGAAACTGTTTTGTATTTCTTTATTACTCCTTTGTCTCACACCTCTGCTCACTGTTTCTATTATGCTTTTCTTGTACTTTCTTCTCTTGCTTCGCGTGCTACACGGAATGTGGCGACTTGAACTTCCGCACATTTGTGCAAAGTTCTATGTCGAAAACAGACAGACAGACAGACAGTGACACACAACCATACAATAGGCTGGATGGGATAGGATGACAGTTTTAAAATCTAATGTCACAGGATGTAGGGAGAGTTTGATAACAGAAGCTTTGTCTATCGAATCAACTGAGGAGAATACATGTAATAGGAATGATTCAACACCTGTCCAGGTGGATATCTGGAAAATTCTACTACCCCAACGACGACAAATAGGAGAAGACAGAGAAAACTATAAAAATCAAATCTCGAAGTCGTGTGACAAAAATTGATATGATTATGAACAAAAAATTGTGTTCGAAACGTCATCCAGTATACAATACTGTTTCACTGTGTGATACATTTAATAAATATGGGATGCAATGATCTATTTATTATCAGACAGATTCACAGTTAAAAGTAATTCCACTAAAAGGTACCCAGTCATCTATTGAGTAGGACATACTGTGTATATATAATGGAGAAGATTTGTTGCTCAGGTGGATGATTTTGATATGGTTGTGTTCTCTGAGCTGGATGGTTTATTTGCGAAGCTTTTATTGCCAGCGCAGTATCTGCTCAAGATGTTGCCTAGTTGGAAAATGAAAGTTTCGAAAATAAACCATCCTGTTCAAAGAACGAAACTACATCAAAAGATACTCTGTGTGTATTTCGTTTGTGGGATATAGTGTTTAATTGTGAAAAAATCAGAAATGACATACAATAATGAATTGTTAAATTCATCGATTCTTT